ACCCTCCCTTCACCCAATAACCCCTGCTTTCTTGCTTCAGCGGTTTGCTGTGTATCAAAGAAAGGTGCTGACCACAGTACTGCTCCCCCTGCAGATGGAGATGGTAAGTGAACCTATTGCCTGACCTCAAAGGTCTGCTCTTAGACTCCTAAGTATTGTTCTTTGGAACCAGTTCAGTTCCTGTATAAACTGTTTCCCTAGTAAGTTGATGAGAATGAAATGTAATCATTAACTGAATCTGTGCCAGCATTTGTGCTGTATTTTCTCCAGCATAATCCAATTGCAGAGCCTTTTGCACTTACTGTTTCCTCTATCAAAAATTATTTTCTTCCAGTTGTATACATGGCCACTTTTCTTATTTCACTTATGTCTCTGCTCAGATGTTACCTCTTCAAAGTCTTCTGTGATCAGATTATCAAAAATAGCAAACCCGGCCATCCTGTATTTTTTATGGCATTTCTCACTACCTATCTTTGTGTTTTATGTATTCATTTATAACCTGTCTCCCTGATGAGAATGTAAATTCCCATTAGGGAGGGGACTCTATCTTATTCCTTTTATATCCCCAGCAACTAAATCAGTGCCTTTCACAGTGGGTGCTTACATGTTGTTCAGCAATAAAGATCTTCAGCATCTGCAGCTTAGGTTACTGCCCAGCAGTTCCCTAGTTTCTCACATGCACAGCTAGACGCATCTCCAGACCTGCCATGGGCTTGGGCTTTTTTAATCCTTCCATCTCGGCTGAGGGTGACCTAATACTAAGCATCAGCCAGTCCAGTACACTCAACTTTGCTTTTTGGGCTTCTGTCAGAACAGGATTCTTCTGTGTTGTGAAAAGATGGAGCTTAACATTCTGCTCTGCTTACAGATGAGGAGATGATGGCCACAGAGGTAACCCCTTCAGCTATGGCGGAGCTTACAGACCTGGGAAAATGTCTGATGAAGCATGAGGTGGGTGGAGGGGATAGGTGATGCCACTGTCTCACCCTGGCCTAAAGCTCTCAGAAAAATAGGCATATTGTTTCAAAATCCCTGTGTTTAGCCTCCCCCAGGCTTAAGGTTTTGTCTCTGTCTTACACTACATCTGCCATATTGTCATTTTGTTTTTGACTGCCTGATAAGCAAAAGTAAAACCCAGTAAAGCTTCGATATTTTCATGATTACCTATTAAAAATTTTAACTCCTGGGCATGATGGTACATGACTATAATCTAATCCCTGCAATTCAGGGAACTGAGGCAGGAGGCTAGCCTCAGCTATTTAGTGTGAGGCCCTAAGCAACATGGTGAGACCCTCTCTCAAAATAAAAAATAAAAAGGGCTAGAGATGTGGCTCAGTGGTTAAGCCACCCAGGTTCGGGTTTAATCCCTAGTAGCCCACCCCCATACCCCCCCCCCCCCAAAAAAAAACAGCTCCTGATGTATAAAAAGTCTAAGAATTTGTGCTTATTTTCCCATATTAATCCTTCCTTTCCTGTTCAGGATGTTTGCACAGCACTGTTAATCACAGCCTTCAATTCACTGTCTTGGAAGGATACTCTCTCTTGTCAGAGGACAACCACACAGCTCTGCTGGCCTCTCCTCAAACAAGTATGTTTAATCACTCCTTTTCCCTGACTATCACATAAGGTGTGGGTCAAGCAGATTGACTGAATCAGTTGGAAGAATTGGGGAGTTGGGACCTTCAGAGAAGGCCCTAAGCACAGCTGTCTCCCCAGGTGCTGTCAGGGACACTGCTCGCAGATGCCGTCACGTGGCTTTTCACCAGTGTGCTGAAAGGTTTACAGACACATGGGCAGCATGACGGGTGCATGGCTTCCCTGGTCCACCTGGCATTCCAGATATATGAGGCACTGGTGAGTGGCAAGAGCATGGGGACAAGGCATCTGTGGCTTTTTCACTCAGCCTATTTCCAGGATTGTGGGCCTTATCCTAAAAGTAGATATCTGCCAAATTGCTAGTGTTGCCATTGTGGTGGGGTAGCAGGGTCCAAACTTACATCAAGTGAGTTTATCCCCACTTTTTAGCGCCCCAGGTACTTGGAGATCAGAGCTGTGATGGAGCAAATTCCAGAAATACAGAAGGACTCTCTGGACCAGTTTGACTGCAAACTTTTGAACCCCTCCCTACAGAAAGTGGCTGACAAGCGACGGAAGGACCAATTCAAACGCCTCATTGCTGGTTGCATCGGGGTAGGTTATGCACCTCCATCAGTATTCCCAACCTTACAAGGTTGTTTGTGGTCTTCTTAGACCACATGTGTAGGTAACCATAATCCAACTGTAGTCATTGACCACTATGATAGGATGTTCTCTAACCCACTATCCAGGCCCAGTATTAGTCTTTTCTCATTTGTTTTCTACAGAAACCCTTGGGAGAGCAATTCCGAAAAGAAGTTCACATTAAGAATCTTCCCTCGCTTTTCAAAAAAACAAAGCCAATGCTGGAGACAGAGGTGCTGGACAATGAGGGGGGCAGCCTGGCTACCATCTTTGAACCATGAATCAAGCTCCTGGGCATCCTTCCTCGGCCTTTATTGTCATCTCTTCTTCCCCCTTCATAGCTGATCTCTAGGCCCCTCTTGCACTGCCACCTCACTTTCCACCATGGTCAGCCTGGAGACAGATCCAGGTCTGCAGCTGAAGAAGAGTGGGCCCTGTGCAGGGCCACAAGTTATTCTACTTATCAAGAAAGGGAGTCAGGGCTTACGCCATTCTGTCGAGACGTTCCCATCCTATTTGGGAGTTTTGGCTTTTTCAAGAAGAGCTAGAGCAGAGCAGCCCTTCTCCCCAAGCCCTCCCACCCCTATGCAGCATACCCAAGCAAATGGGAACGAGGGGTGCTGTGCCTAGCCAGGGCTCAGCCCTCAACCACTTGTGCCGGAGAGCTTCTCCTGGACCACTACATCCCAAAGCCCCTTGCTGCTGGGCTAGCAGGGACCCTTCCACACACCCAGTGGCATGTCTGGTTTAGGTGCTAAGTACTGAGCTGAATTTGGCCAGTTCTCATCTTTGTTTTGATCAAGAATCTGGTCACCCAATGGGATCCATAGTACAGGCTACTACTAAAGTCTGGGCACAATATCAAGTGTAGTATCTCCAGGAACCAAGGCTGGGTAAGGTTTAGTGCTAATATCCCCCCTTAAGCTCACACATCTCGCCCTTTCACAAATGACCCTGACTCAAGGGTTTCCGCAGTGTCTGGGTCTACTCAGGCATTAGAGCCACAGTACCCTATTCAGTGTCACATGACACCATTGTCATCCAAGGATAATCCAGATCAACTAGACTTAACATCTGTGACAAGCAGCTAGCAAAGCCACTGGTCTCCTTCTAGGACTAGCTGAGTCCCAGGTGCCTTTAAAAATCTCGTGGTCTTACACGCCCCTGGTTGCTTTTCTCAAGGGTCATTTCCAAAAGAATACATAGGTGGGGTGGTATGTGCCTGTAATCCCAGCAGTCTGAGGCAGAAGGATCACATGTTTGAGGCCAGCCTCAGCAACTTAAGAGAGACCCTGTCTTAAAATTGGGGAAAAAAGGACTGGGAATGTGGCGTAGTGGTAAAGCACTCCAGGTTCAATCTCCAGTACCAAAAAAAAAAAAAGAAATTGTATCTATCACAACCTGTACTGAGTCCATCCTATAGGTCACTGGAAGGCCCTGGAAGCAGAGGGAAATGTGGATGTGGGACCCACCCCCTGAAGTAATTATCACAAGGCAGCCTTGATCCATATAGAAAGCAGAATGCCTATGTGCTCTGCACAGGACAGGCCTGCCATCCATCCAGTTCACAAATTAGGGTTTCAGTGAGAGAGTAGACAGACGCCTGCAGCTTTTAGCTGGGGCAGGTCACAGGCACTACAAGGTTGGAGAGAAGCAAAGCTGGGAAAATGGAACTTAAGAGTGTCACATGGTGTCTCTGTTGCACAAGTCTGTTCCCTTTTTCTGCAAGGTGCTTTGGGCTTCTATTGATTGTGAAGGTGATCTCAAAGAATATCTCCCTCCAAACTTGATTGCTGCCTACTCTATTTGGTTGGGGCTGTGGAGGGTACAGTTGTATTTATTATGTTGTAATATTTTTAACATTCTGTGACTTCATGCTAGAAATTTTCTATTGTTTATAGAACCTTTTTGTAGAAATGTTTAACTCTAAAGCACATCTGCATGTCAGTAAAAATCTCAATTTCATACAGAAAGGGCCCTATCTGCCTTTTTCAAATTGGTCTTTAAACCAGTGACATGTTCCAGGGTTAACATCTTCATTGAGCATCCTGTAGGGGGAACTAGACAGGAAGAAAATTGTGACTGATGGGTCTATTATTAAGCTTTCTAAAATAGTATGCCAATTTGGAAACTGTCTTTTTCTAGGCCATCTCTAGGCACCATTCCCTTTCCTGTGTGGCTACTGGGACTGACCCTGGTTTTTTCAACATAGTTCAGTTGAACTGCTATGGACAACCCTTTTTTCTGTAAGGAACTTGCCTGGTAATCCAGGACATAGGTAAATTTGGCATATTCACTCTGGTTCCTTCTGTACAGAAGGTTTGACTGCACCCGCAGAAAGCACCTCAGTTTGGCCTTTTTGGTATTGGGGATTGAATTCAGGAGCACTCGGCCACTGACTCACACCCCCAGCCTTATTTTGTATTTTAATTAGAGTCAGGGTCTCATTGAATTGCTTAGCACCTCACTTGTGCTGAGGCTGGCTTTGAACTCACAATCCTCCTACCTCATTCTGGAGAGCTGCTACAGGTCCGCCCAGCAGGAAGTTTTTAAAAGGACTTGGCTTCAAGGGCTGGGAATGTAATTCAGTGGTAAAGTGCCTGCTTAGCACACTCAAGGCCCCAGGTTCAATCTCCAGTACTACCAAAAAAAACTTGGCCTTAACTTGCACTGACATTGGCAGTGAATCCAATGTTCTTGATTGCTAAATACCAAACCTGTTCTGAGATGAGGCCCCATACCTTGAGACTCAAAGTCAAGAAGTAGTCTTAAAAAAAGGATTTTGTTTGGACATGAATTTATTTACATCAAAGGCCTTACAAAGGCATAAAGTCTCATTCTGTAGCACATTTAACAAAATATACTGATGGAAAATAAAGCTGGAATTAGACCTAGTCACACTGAGTATAGTAGTCCCCTTGGGGCAGGTCAGAATCCAGGAGCATCCAACTCCATACATCCCAGTATTTCTGGTCCAAACTTCAGTCCATCTGAACTGCATCTAGTTCATCCAAGAAGCGCCGGCACTTGCCCATCAATACTTTGATAGCTTCACTCACCAGCACATCTGGTGGCAACACTCCAGTTGACTCTACAGAAACTGGGAACCAAAGAAACACTACTTCAGCCCAGGCAGGACTTTTCTTTAGGAAGCTGTTATAAATTATTTCTAAATTCCACATATGGACTCTGAAAGGAAACTATAGCAATAAAAAGTATCCACAGGCATACACTCCACCAGTTCTTACTCACAGATGTAATGATCTCGAACACGGGCAAGCCGCACAACCTTCTTTAGCTTCTCATTCCGAAAGATTTCCCTGCTAAAGGTATCCAGCCGGGGATTGGCAACTCTGGCCACCTTTTTACCTAATGAAAACAAATCCTGTCATACTTTGTCTATTAGGGTCCAAAGCTTTTATTTCTTTTTGTCAGTTTCAAAAGAAAATAGATCCTCATCTGAACAGCATCCCAAACACCATACCTTGCACTTCTTGTACTTCAATAACACCAGGTGAAAAGCACTGGCTCAGTTCCTCAGCTGCCTCCCCTTCCACAGGTTCAAGTAGAGTGATGTCTGGCAGAAGCCTGTAACTAGCTGTTGCCACTGGTGAAAATTTGGCATGATCTTTTCCTGGAATGTTGAGGAGAATCAATCTTCAGAAACCTTTCTTCATTCTCCTGAACCACTGATAAGACAAACCTATTGACTTTCTGCCTGTCAGCAACATCTCAACTCAGTTCCCATCACACTTTGTGCCACTATAATCAAACCCAGGGTAGGCCCATAGGGTTCTCACCAATGCCCTTGACACAGTGCATTAGCAGATCAATCTCCTGGCCAGGCCGCAGCTGAGCAATGAGGATATCATCATGTACCGGGCGGATAGTGCCTTCTGGAAAGACGTCAGCCTGGTTCCCCAAGGGGACCCATGTCATATGCCTGGTATATACTAAAGAAAACACGTCAGAAGACCCCAGCCACTGAAACCAGAACCCACCAGCAGGTGGGTCCTCTTCCTCACCCTACTGGCTCACCTTTGTGGTTCACATAGAGTTCATTGGGGTCAGAGGAATCTTTAGCAGCATGGGGATTCCGGGTACATCTGACCTGGAGCCGAAATTGCAATGTGTCTATCTCTGTGCCTTCTTCATCTCCTGAACAAATGGAGGAGGCAGCTCTTTTTACTACTGAACAGCTAAGAGTATCAGGTATTATGCTACAGGATTTACATACATTTTTCATATTAATCCTCTTGACAAACTTTGGAAGGCAAGGGCAAGTGTCTTCAGTTGAAAACTGATGTTACCCAAAGATGAGTAATTTGCCCAAGGTCATACAGTAATCAGTCTAGGATTTGAACCTAGGCAGTCTAATTCTAGGTTATTCAAGAGAGCCAGTTCCAACTCTCCCAAAATTTCATTTTCTCAAACCCTCACCTTGGTTCCGATATTCAAAAAGACGAGGATCAGCAAGAATGGGAATGAGCCCCAGGCGGTGTGCAAGGATCTCATCCTGAACAATGGACGTGTTGTTGTATACCAGGACTTTTTCCACAGCCATTGTTGGTACCTGCTCAAGGAAAAAAAAAAAATCACCTGTACAACAGACAACTTCCTACTTCCTAAGATAGAGAACCCTTCCTAGAAGAATGCTTAATGAAATTTACATTTACAAAGGAAAAGAAAATCTCAGCACAGTTCTAGGGGAAATAAGGGGAGGGACAGCTTGAGAATTCTACAAGTAAGGTAATAATACAGTTTCCCACACAACCCCAGTTTTGCTACCATGCCTGCCAATACCTCAGCTAAAAGAATTCTTCTAAAAGCATTGGCAATGGCTGCATCAATTCCCACCATGTCAAACTCCAGTGAGTTTTCATCCATGTGTACCACATCCACACGGAAATTCTAGAGGGACAGGAAAAATGTTAGAAGTGAATCCTGCTTATTTATACTTATGTTTTCCCCTGGATACTTCCCTCATCCAAATATCTCCCTCTACCCAGATGACCCTCATTAGATATTCATCCTCCCCCAAACCATCCTTTAGTTTCTTCAAAAGTTGTTTTGGTTTTGTCCTCCATTAAGTGAAAACCCTATGCAATATGGCTTCCAGTTGAACCATCCACAGATGATACCCTAAAAAACAAACTTCCATACAGTGTAGTCCAGTTGATTCTAGGCAATCCTTTCCTTGACTATTAGTAGCACTTGACATTATTAATTTAAAAAAAAAAAAATCCCTCCTTTTTCAATTTGTTTCCTTGGTTTCTGAGCACCAATATTGTTTTCTTCCTTCCCTAAGGATTCCTTCTAATTTCACTATCTTCCACCCGCCCCTTAAATGTTACTTTTTCTCAGAGTCTTATCTCTCTCCCAGATAACCTCAATCACATTCAGGGTTTCAGCAACTACTTCAGACAAGTCCCCAAATTTTCTCAATTCTGATATAATTGCAAACATAATCTACTGGCCTGCTTGGCTTCTCCACATGCAGGAAACTGAAGGCATCATTCCTGTTCCCCAACCATTTCAGTAGATGATACCACCATCCATCAAAGCAATTCCTCAAGCCAGAAGGTCATTTTATCAAAGCAATCACAAATTTACCTGCCATGCCCTCAGTGCTCTATTTCCACCATCAGTCTTAAATTCATGCCTTCACTCTTAGCTCGCCTATACAATCCAGCAGATCTGCTTGCTGGGTATGATCCTCTTCAAACTCAATCTGCACAGCCATCAACGGCTGCAAATCTGATCATGCCTGAAGAACTCCTCAAAAGCTCCCCATCACCTATAGTGGATAAAATGCACTCCAATCTTGTCTACCACTCTTGCTAGCACACTTTCTAGTAATAATGACCAGCCAGGACATTGTCAGCCCATCTCACATCTGCCTTTGTAAGTTAGCTCTTGCCCTCTTCACCTTTTACTGTCCTCGGCTTTTACTCACTCGAGCCTCAATTCAGATGTCACCTCGTTCATGAAAATGTACCTCCGTCCCCTTTCCCAGTCTAGACTTAAGCGCCTCTGCAGGATGCTGCCACCCCATCCCCACCGTTCTATCAACCGCATTTACATTGGACTAGAATTGTTTAAGTGCGCTACTCCCCAACAAGAAAGAACATCGTCTTCCTCGTAAAACAGATTAGAAACGTGTCTGACTTGGCCTGTACACATTGCTCAATAAACGTTCTATGAATGGAGCGATCCCCAAGAACAGCGTCTGAATCACAAGCTGCCTCAGATCACACGTTCCAGCAGCCCTCATACCCACTCCAGACACCTTCGGCCCAACTCACCTTCTCGAAACGGTCCTGATCCCAGGCATCATCATACCCGGCATAGTTACCAGGAAAGTCAGTGGTATGAACCTAGAGTAAAAAGGAATCTCATCTGTCCACGAAACTGCAGAGAAGCCAAGTCCATCCCCACTTCGATCCCCACCCTATCCCTGTTCCGTTCTCATTCCTACTCCTCACCTCAATGCTATTAGACTTACATTGCGAACCCCAAACTCCCCTAAAACCACACGACTCCGCATCTCCTCTACCGCCTGGGCAGCCGCCATCTTGAGTTTCTCCACGAGACTTTCAGGAGCGCGTGCGTTCCAGTAGTACTCCTCGGTCTCTGGGGCAACCCTCCGCCTCCTAAAGCATTAAATATCGCGAGACGTTGCCCCACCTCCGTCCACGTCCCCAGCTTCCGGAAGTTAGTTTGGGCCAAACATCCGGGTTTCTCTTTTCTGCGTTCCGGCTGATACTACCTTTCCTTCTCTTCCCAAGCTATCTCGCTTGCTCAGGCCCACGTCTCGCCTACTCTTCCTACGCGCACAGGGCTAGCGCGGGCTTCAGCGACGGGAGCCCTCGAGGGACATGGCAACTACTGCGGCGCCGGTCGGCAGCGCCCGAAACGGAGCTGGCCCGGAATGGGGAGGCTTCGAAGAAAACATCCAGGTAATGTCCTCAGATTTCTTGCTGCCAGCAACCCCAGGGCCGGCAGCCGTCCTGAAGTGTTGAGATTCTCTCTTGGGGCCTGGAAGTCTGCTCCATTTGCATTATCTTTGTCTCCTTTGGGTCTTCCGGCACACGAAAATCAGTAGTAATAGTGCTAACCTGAAAGGGCCAGACCGGTACTACATCCGGAGAGCCTCGGGTCTCTGGTCGGAGGAGCGAGGGAAAAGTGCGCTTACGGACTAATTAGGAAGTCGATCAGGGCCAAGCATGGCGGGGCATGGAGTTCACTGGCACTCGCCAAAAACACAGTGTGCATAGTTGTGTTCAGGACTTGGGTAAAATAAAAGAAATGTCACTTTTGCAGTCATTTGCGGCTTTTATTATAAGGAAGGTAGGAGAAAGCATGAAAATAATAGGTTTCCCCGGGCTAGAAGAATGCCAAAAGCAGGCAACCAAGGGTTATGAGGGCAAATGAGGGGGAAGAAGAGTGGCATGATCTGTAGTGATTCCAAGCCATGCCCTGGGCAGTGGAAGAACTAAGCCCCAAACCCTGGGATGAGCAGAGAACCTAACAGATAGAACAGAAAGGTCCTGCACTCTAGGAGCCATTGTCTTCACAGGGTGGGGGCTCAGCTGTGATTGACATGGAGAACATGGATGATACTTCAGGCTCCAGCTTCGAGGATATGGGTGAGCTGCATCAGCGCCTGCGTGAGGAAGAAGTTGATGCAGATGCAGCTGCTGTGGAAGAAGAAGATGGGGAGTTCTTGGGCATGAAGGGCTTTAAGGGACAGCTGAGCCGGCAGGTGGCTGATCAGGTAAGAAAGATTTAATCCCTGGCAGGTGGAAAAGTATACCTAGGCATATCCCATGTTCTCCAGTTGATAAAATCCAATAGAAAGACTGGATGCAATGGCACTTACCTGTGATTTCAGTGACTCTAGAGGCTGAGGTAAAAGGATCACAAGCTTGAGTCCAGCCTCAGCAATTTAATGGGACCATCAACAACTTAATGAGACCTGGTCTTCAAATAAGAGACTGGGGATGTAGCTCAGTGGTAAAGCTTCCCTGGGATCTGTTCCCAGTACCAAAAAAAAAAGGGAAGAAGAAGAAACCCACCACAAAATAGGCAACAGGGTCTAGAATCACAAGTCTCATAATACCCATCCCCCATCTCCCTTCAGATGTGGCAGGCAGGGAAGAGACAAGCCTCCAGGGCCTTCAGCTTATATGCCAACATTGACATCTTGAGACCCTACTTTGATGTGGAGCCTGCCCAGGTGCGAAGCAGGTGAGGATTCTTTTCCTGACAGAAGCTTCCCTCCTAACACCTAATCCTTCCTTCAAACTACAACCAGATGCCAAGTTCCACACTCTCATGGGCTCCCCCACTTCATGACTTCATCACTGAACATAATGGTAATAACACTTTGCCTTCCTCCCTTTTTTCATTAGCACACTACTCATCCCTCAAAACCTGGCTCATCCAGCACTTCCTTTGTTCTGCATTCCTAATCCACTCCCAGTTTGTTCTCACCTGGTGCCACTATGGATCTCTGTACTTGCCTCTGACAGATGGTACTTAAGTACTGCAATACATTCTCATTCCTGTGTCTGTCTCTCCAGAGACCACAAAAGCTGGCTTTGTCTTTATTTTTTTCCTGGCACCAGAAGGCTTGAAAAGCAGAATATCAGGGTATAGTTGCTAAATGACTTCTCAACAACTGGATTTAAACTTGGCTTGGTTCTTTGTTCATCCTTTAATTTGACCATTGTTTATTAAATACCCAGGACCACTCAGCAAGTATTTATTAAGCTTTTGTTCTGTGCCCAGCCTATCCTGGCAGTTACAATAAAGTATCCCTATGCTATATCAAGGCATACAGATGTGACATCTAAGCCAGAGTAGGCTGGTGGGTGGGACAGGGCAGACTTCCCATAAAAAGTAATATCTAGCCAGGCACGGTGGCTCACACCTGCAATCCCAGCAGCTCAGGAGGCTGATGCAGAAGGATTGCAAGTTCAAATCCAGCCTCAGGAACTTAGCAAGGCCCTAAGCAACTCAGTGATACTGTCTAAGTTAAAGGGCAGGGGATGTGGCTCAGTGGTTAAGTGCTCCTGAATTCAATCCCCAGTGCCAAAATTAATAATAATAATAATAATAATATCATCTAACTAAAAACCCAAGATTTTATAAAGAGCCAGGCACTTAAGAAGACAGTGGAGAATTGACTAGTTTTATTCCTGCTGTGTGGAATTTTTATATCACTTCAAATACATTTTTCAAGAAAATGCTCAGCATTGCCTGGAGGGATGGTAAGTAGGAAGAGGTAGGAGGCACACTTTTTTTCAGTAGTAATACCATTCCTTCTAAACCCTTCCCAGGACTTCACCATCATAGCCCTGAATTCTGGGTACTCTTCTGAGGTTTGCCTGTCTTTTGAGGGAAAATGGTCAAGTAGATAAATGGTCAGGTCCTCTCCCAAGACCCAGTCAGCTTGCTTTCAGAGAGGGTTGTCCTTCCTGAAAGTATATTTAGGGTCAAGGAAATGATTTCTTCATTACTGTCTTCACTACCCTTTTTTCCCCCTGTCATCCAGCATGTCCTCTGGGCCAGGCCCCATTCCTTGGAGTTAGAGAGATGAAGGTTCAGGCCTTGTCCTCCAGAACTTCACAGAATAGTGCTGTCTCTGCTTTCATCTCTCCTCTCCTCTCCCAGGCTCCTGGAGTCCATGATCCCTATCAAGATGGTCAACTTCCCCCAGGTGAATAGGGGGTAGCATGTCTGGAGAGCCAGGGGAGGCACCCAGGGCAAAGGGTGGGACCATCAAGTCAAGCCTATGAAGGTATAAAGAGAAGAGGCGTTGTATACACCAAAATGAGTGAGTTGCTATTTTGACAGAAAATCGCTGGTGAACTTTACGGACCTCTCATGCTGGTGTTTACACTGGTTGCCATCCTCCTCCATGGGATGAAGACATCTGACACCATTATTGTAAGCTGAACAGAGGACTTTGGGAGAAGGGTGGCTGATGTAGGTTGAAAGCTGCCCAAGGACAGGATGGTGGAGTGAGGCAGAAGCAGGCCCTGGGTGAGGCTGAGATCAGAGGTCTCCCAGGACTAAGTAGAACCTTCACCCTACAGCGGGAAGGCACCCTGATGGGCACAGCCATTGGCACCTGCTTTGGCTACTGGCTGGGCGTCTCGTCCTTCATTTACTTCCTGGCCTACTTGTGCAACGCCCAGATCACCATGCTCCAGATGTTGGCACTGCTGGTAAGGAGCCAGGCATGGTAGTGGGCAAGGGCAATTTTTTAAAAAGTAGTAAGGCTTTGGTCTGCATCGGTCTTGGGAGGCTCTGGACCTGGAATGAGAGGAGCAGGCCAGTGGAGCATTTATTCCCAGGGCCCCCCTGAGGAGTCAGAGGCCAGCCCAGACTGAATGATTTTCCTCTTCACCACCCTTCTTTCCAGGGCTATGGTCTCTTTGGGCACTGCATTGTCCTGTTCATCACTTATAACATCCACCTCCATGCCCTCTTCTACCTCTTCTGGCTGCTGGTGGGTGGGCTGTCCACCCTGCGCATGGTAAGCTGAGCAAGAGGTTTCCATGGGTGAGTTGTCCTCCCAGGGAGTTGGGGGAGACAGCCTGAGCTGTGCACTCCACAGAGGGCTCTAAGTGGAAAGGAAGGACCCATAACCATCCTGCCCTGGGTGCAGGTGTATTCCCCCATCCCTCACTTTGAAACCACACCCTCTGAACTGTATTCCTGTGGCCCTAGGTGGCAGTGTTGGTATCACGGACTGTAGGCCCCACCCAGCGGCTACTCCTCTGTGGCACCCTGGCTGCCCTGCATATGCTATTCCTGCTTTATCTGCATTTTGCCTACCACAAGGTGGTAGAGGGTAAGTGGAAGGAGGGCCTACACGAGGGGGAGGGGCAGAATGGTGGCCCAAGGTTGGGGGCTAGATGAAGCAACCTGTGGACTAGACCCAGTAGCACTCACCTTTCCTCTTCCTTCTTTCAGGGATCCTGGACACACTGGAGGGCCCTAACATCCCACCTATGCAGAGAGTTCCCAGGGATGTCCCTGCTGGGATCCCTGCTGCCAGACTTCCCAACACCGTGCTCAATGCCACAGCCAAGGCTCTTGCAGTGACCCTGCAGTCACACTGACCCCACCTGAAATCCTTGGCCAGCCCTGTCTCTCCCAACTGTGGAGCAGAGAAAAATTAAAGGACAGTACTGGTGACATGGGTCTCTGATGGGGTCTGCAGTTGCCACTGAGTTGTAGCTGCTTAAGTACCTCTTTGATGCCTGTCGGGGCTTCTGAAGGGCACAAGGCCAGGAAATCCTGGCCAGGACTGCAAAGCTCTGCAGCCAGTGCAGAAAGTGGGTCAGCTCCTCTGAGGCCCCCATACCACCTACCCCTTCCTTCTTCTGTGCCCCTCTTGTCTTGCTAAATATAGACTTGGTAATTAAAATATTGATTGAAGTCTGGAACTGCGGTTACTGTTCCAGTGGTTCTCCTTGTCACCCTACTTCTTATACAAGTTCTTGTTGTTCATCATCAGTAGTCACATGTTCCCTTCTATATGCCCTCACACAAAAGGGATGAAGGTGAGACAGACCTAACTACTTAGATGTCAGTGACTGTTCATGGAACTTGCCCTAGGGTAGGGGATTCCTGACCCATGGAATGGCAAGGAGCCCACAAGAGGCTTAAGCCTCATGAAACAGTATCAGAT